CACTTTCATGCCATCACACGACCCCCGTCAGTGGGTGCTACTGGGTAGTGACTGACACGTGGACCCTCAAGGCTTCCACTTACACGTTGTCATAGCCTGGAACCGGAAAATGGGTCTAAGATTCAACAATAAGTGAATCCATGGCAGGGGTTTGGGGAACTCGGTTCTGCCTGAGCCGCCATGAGACCTGCAGGTGTCCAGCGTCTGTGGGACTGAGAGCAGAGGCAGCATGCTCCGCTGGCCTGGGGTCATCTCCCACAATCCCCAAGGCCGCTCCGCTAGGAGGTGGAGGTTTTCATCTTCCAATGGGGTGTCGTCCTCCTCCTCTTTCTCCCACCTCCCCCCTTACCCATAGATCTGTGCCTTTACAGGGTGTTTGGGGATGGGTTTTACTCTGGTGACAATGTTCTCCAAACCCAAGGTACGTGATGCTCTTCTTGGCTCTTGGAAAGGCTGCCTGGGGTGGTCCCAACCGTCCACTGAGCCCAAACAGTGAGGGGGTAGGCAGAGGCTGGAATGGAGCCGAATGGGTTAATAGTGAGTGGAGAACACACCAGCCTCAGGGCTGGGCCGGATTGCCACAGGGTGGACGGTGTGCAGGGCTTTTCCGGCCTTTTCTCTGAAGTCGCCATCCCTACACAGGAGGGCAGATGTCCTGGGAGGACTGTGAATAGTGAGTGGCTGGCTGGGAAGAGAGGAGGATCCACCAAGTGGGAAGGCAGCATCTGATTCTCCCTCAGGAAGCTTCGAAGATGATTCGTTAAAATGATTGATTAGGAATAAACTCATTCAAGAATGTATCTACAAGCCAGACCCTGAAGGTTCATTCACTCTGCAAAGGTCTGCTGACCGCCTCCGCCCGGGGATCCAGGAGGGAACAAACCGACAGACCCATTGTCCTCCTGGGCTGACCCGTCTGCAGGGAAGACAGACGTTTGCTCAGCGTAGGAGGCTGGTGGGGGCAGAGGCAGGTGAAGGGGCCGGAAAGGACTATTTATTTTTATTTTTTAAAATAATACTTTATTGTTGAAAGTATTACCTATGTCCCCCTTTCCCCCATTGACCCCCTCCAGCCTGTCCCCCCCCCCCCACTCAGCCTTCGGCACCCTATTGTCTGTGTCCATGGGCCATGCATGTATGCACACAAAGTCCTGGTGATTACCTCCACCCACCCACACTCCCCCCACCTTCCCTCTGATTTCCCCACTCTCTTCCATGCTTCCCTGTCCCTGGATCCACTCCATTCATCAGTTTATTTTGTACTTAGATTCCACATATGAATGAGATCATGTGATACTTGTCTTTTTCTGACTGACTTATTTCACTTAGCATGATACTCTCCAGGTCCCTCCATGCTGTCTCAAAGGGTAAGAGATCCTTCTTTTTTACTGATGCATAGTAGTATTCCATGGTATAAATGTACCACAGCTTTTTAAAAAAATATATTTTATTGATTTTTCACAGAGAGGAAGGGAGAGGGATAGAGAGTTAGAAACATTGATGAGAGAGAAACATAGATCAGCCGCCTCCTGCACACCCCCTACTGGGGATGAGCCCGCAACCAAGGTACATGCTCTTGAATGGAATCGAACCTGGGACCCTTCAGTCCGCAGGCCGACGCTCTATCCACTGAGCCAAACTGGTCAGGGCTACCACAACGTTTTTATCCACTCTCTACTGATGGGCACTTGGGCTATTTCCAGATCTTAGCTATTGTAAATTGTGCTGCTATGAACATAGGGGTGCGTACATTCTTTCTGATTGGTGTTTCAGGTTTCTTAGGATATATTCCTAGAAGTGGGATCACTGGGTCAAATGGCAGATCCATATGTAATTTCTTGAGGAAACTCCATACTGTTTTCCATAATGTCTGCACCAGTCTGCATTCCCACCAGCAGTGTACTAGGGTTCCCTTTTCTCCGTATCCTCACCAGGACTTGTCATTTGTTGATTTGTTGATGGTAGCCATTCTGACAGGTGTGAGATGGTATCTCATTCTCATTTTGATTTGCATCTGTCGGATGATTAGTGACTTTGAGCATCTCTCTATATAAAACCCTAATATGCAAATAGACCAAACTGTGGAACAACCGAACAACTGGTTGCTATGACATGCGCTGACCACCAAGGGGCATGCGCGGAACATGGCGGGCATCGACAGCAGGCGGTACAGTGCAGAACATGGTGGGTGTTGGCCACTGAGGGATGGTAGAGCAGGTGATAGGGGGCACCAGACCAAGGTGGGGTGCTGATTGCTGTCATCGGGGTGAGCCTCTGCTGGTTACTAAAAATTCTTTGCTCCTGCGCACCTGCTGCCAGCGCCAGAGCCACCACTCGCACCCACTGCTGGCACTTGGTGCCATCAGTGGGTGCAAGTGGCGGCTGCTGGCCCCGATCGCCCCTCAGGGTTTCTCCACCTCCCCCTGCTCCCAAGGGTTGATCGGAGCAGCAGGCCCACTTGCACCCATTGACAGCGACAGCCATGCTTGCACCCGCTGTTGGCACCAGCCCCAAAGGCTCCACGCTGTCAGTGGGTGCGAGCAGGTCCAGTGTAGTCAGCATGTGGGAGCAGCGGCAGTGGCAGGAGCAGGCTGCCAGCAGACAGACAGGGGACCAGGGGCTGTGGTGGGAGGGACTGGGTGGGGGGCGTGGAGGAATGGCCTGAGACCTGCCCCT